TATATTTTTTTTAAAGGTAAATATTTGGTTTGGTGTAGGGGAATGGAAATGGGCGAAAAATGTTTATTTTAAGATGGACAGAATTGACTTTTACATTAAAGAAGAGGCCCTTTTAGAAAAAGTAAAGGAGCGAAAATTTACGCCCTTTTTTTTTAACAAAAAGATTATAAATTAAAAGTGAGGGGAACCGAAAACACCTAAGGGTTCGAGGTGCATCCATCAAGGTGTCAAAAGGTCAGGTGCAGAGCAGGGAAAATTTACTTTAATCCTTCAAAAATCAGCAAGTGGGAAATTAAGAAGAGTGGGCATTTGTTTATTTTATTTCATTTTATTTATATTGTACAATTTAAAAGAATACTCTCTTGTTTCATAATATATGTAAAAGTTAATTATTATTAAATTATTTAAATTATTAACTTTTTAAATTTCCTTTTTTAGTTGAACAGATACAAATTTTGAGAGTAAAAATTAAAATACAGTACTTAAAATTAAAAGTGTATTTTTTAAAAAACTTACAATCAATTATCTTTCTAAGCGAACTGTACCTTTGTAAATTTTTTTAAACATTAGCAAACATTAAATTTGCACTCTAAAAATTCTGGAACATTAACACATCTCACGAAACAACACTCAACAGTTAGGGAAAGCCAACATACAACAGAAAAGCACGAGCAAAAAATAGTTAGTAGTGATTAATCTTCATATTATTTCGGCCACAAATTAATATTATCATAGCACCTGACCCTTGAGACTTAGTGGCAATAGCCACCCCGGTGCATTTTCCCTTCCCCGGACTGGGTTCGAAACCCACCCCTTACATGTATGGTCAAAAAAAAAAAATTAATATTATCATAGGTTGAGTCTCAAAAAAAAAAAAAAAAAGAAGAAGAAAGGGACCCACACTACTTTTCTTGTGAAGCCCTCTTACGCTGGGGCCTAAATTAGGTGGTGCAACTCACTTTCCTATTTATTCATTTTATGCGCGTTGATTATAATGTCAACAATCTAAAACCAAAGAGGGACTGAAGGAAAATTCTACAGATGATGCTAAATTTAAGATGGAATGCTGTGGCTCTTCCCACATGAAACCGTCCTTTTTATCCAAACGCAAGAAAGAAACATAAAAAATTCTCAATTTCCGACCGTATGATAAACATCAACTAGCTACGATTTAAACAATCTTGCTCTAATTTCATTTTTGGGTGGAGTAAGAGATTTTATGTTTTGAGTCATAAAAGTGTGACTATGGTTAATTAGTGATGAAATGAAAGAGAGTTTTTTTTTTTTTTAATTTTAAATTATACAAAAAATAATTATATTTTATTTTTTATTTTATTTTATTTATATATTATGTAATTTAAATTTAAAATTTTATATTTTTATTAAAAAATTAATATTAAACTACCTAAATTATTAACAAATAAAAAAAATTACATCCTCAAAATATATATTTTAAAAAGTAGTAACTTCTCTGGACAATCATTTTAGTGCGGAATGAGATGAATAGGTTACCAAACAAGCCCTATGTATTGTCTTCGAAAATACTACTTTAGCATGAAGTAAGTTCTCGTTAAAGCTAAAAAAGCACGTGAGCCGACCTATGAAATTTATCATGTGGTTGTAGTGGTAAATTGTTAGGCAACCCACTTGTGGATTACACACAACTGTGTTGATTATGTAAGCTTTTTGGTATATAGAAAGGTGGAAATGAGAAGAAGAGGCACATAATTGGTTTCAGACTAGGTGGCCTGCAGCCATATTGGACTCTGGACAGGGACACAAGAAAAGACAGCTAAGTTCTGTCGAGTCCAAGTTGTGTGTGTGGGCTTGTTTTGCCAGGGTTGGAAGAGTTAATGCTGCGTACACAGTACACACCCAAAAGGAAGGTTTGTGGCTGTGGATGACAGCACCCCAGTTGGGTTATTTAATTTTTTTTTAATAATTTAAAATTATTTACGAATATCAATTGAGGAAAAAGAAAATAGGTTCGTCGGGTCAAAGCTCATTACTATAAACGATGAACAGTTTTAACTCAAAATTGATGACACTGATCGAAGCAAGTCATTTCAATTGGATTATTTAATAATTATTTTTTTATTAAATGTAAATATTTTAATTTTAAAAAATATTAATATTAAAAATATTAAAGTATTTAATAATAATTATATAATAAATTTAATAAAATTAAAATTTATATTATATTTTATACATTTAATAACCATAATTAAATGTCTAATGTCAAAATGTTTTTAATTTTTTTTAATTTAATTGTTCTATTTATTATTTATTCTAATACATATGAGATATTGAATGTTATTTTTCTAATTTATTCTTATTACTCTAATCAATTTATAAAGATAATAGAAAAAGTTTCATTAGAGATAAATATATTATTTCAACAACTAATTATAATTTTTTTTGACTAATTTTTAAATCTATCTTATGTGTAAAGTTAAAAAATTAAAACAAATAAAATGGAAAGGAGGGAGTATATAATTATAATCTGCCTGCCTCTTTTTTGCATTCAGGGCACGTTTTGGTTTACAACCTGCACCCCAACGCCCCTTGTCTCCCCTAGTTAATAGCTCCCCCCTTCCACCTGGACTAAGAGTAACCATCCGTCATTTTCAGTCTTTTCATGGTGGGTTATATGCTTCGTTAGTTTCCCATTCCACTTGACTCTTTTTTTTTTCTTTTTTTTTCTGTCTTTCTCTTTTCTTTTCTTTTCTTTTTTCTTTTTTACATAAGTGAATTTTACTTAAATTTGACTAATTTAGTAAGTCTTTGGTATATTTATAAGGTTTTAAGTTTAAATCTCGTTGTTCATGACTGTTAAAGTTTTTTTTATCTTAATTACACAATGAAAGATAATCATCTCATGTTTTTTATTTCATCTCACTTTTCATCTCACTTTTCATCTCACTTACATGTCACGCAACTCAAATTTAAAATATCTTAATTTCAATAAAAAAAATAATTATTGAGATATTTAAGTTGTTGGTCGTAACAATTAAAGTTAATTAGTTTATAGCTTGTTAGTTATATGCATTCCCACGTTCTTAATTTTTA